CCAACAAGCCATATGTGTTGACTGTGAAAGACAGTATACTTTAATTATATGCATTTATGGTGCAATTGCTACATTTTCGTTTTCATATGTACTGCAAACAATGTGCTGTCACTTTAATTCAGCGCATGTATCACAAGCAACAATAGACTTGGTGCGGAAACGATCTCTGCACTGCTGCAGACGCACTGCTCCTGAACGCACTGCCGTGTGCAGTGTGAATGCTTTAATCCGTTAACATGAACGCGGAAAAAATATGCACCACATACCACGACTGTGTGCGCTGCGAGTGTGCATGAGCGCACGGTCTACAGGAGAGCGCGCGAGCGCTGAATGGTTAAACACTGGCAAGAATTAAAAAGTAATGCAAAAACTTTACTTTACTTATATAAACTTTAGTGACGACGTGACACTGCCTCAACTGTGCAAGTGACAATTCCTGTGTCAACTGTGCAGCATGCAGCTCGCTTATAGACAGACGCGATGTGTGGTGATTTGAAGCCATTTGCGTATTTTGAGAGAAAGAGAAAGCGCGCGCGGTTAATCACTCACGCTGTTTGTGAAATTATGTCTCACACGAGGTGAGTACCTCACCTTCAGCATTATAATTATTTAACCCGCGCCGGACAGAGACTGAGACGGTGCCTCTGCATGTCGTGCCAAACCTCTCACGGCAGTGTCATCAGCTTGAGATCATTATTTTGAGATCGGCCTTTTAGAGACCGCCGATCGATCATCCCAACATGATTATCGGCCGATAATGATCGGTAGCCGATCAATCGGAGCACCCCTACATAAAAGTAAATTTTTTTTTTATTTTTTTATATAAAAAATCTTATTAAAATTAATTGAATTGTAAATGATTGCATGAAAAACAAAAAACAATGGCAAAAAAGCAAGCGATAATAAAATAAAAAATATATAAAAATAAAATAAATCTTCAAAATAACATTATTGTAAAAATAACAAAAATACATTAGCAATGCATTCAAATTCTGTTGGATAAAAGAACAAAACACACACACAAAACACACAAAAAAATTGTGCAGCCAAACTTTTGAGATATTTTCAGGAAATGCGACAATGTGTGTGTATGTGCACGCATGGTCTTCCTCGGTCACATGACTCCAAGCCAATCAAGCCGGCCTCTCTCCGGATTAATCTGACATCTCCTGTTAAATGTCACCTGCAATTATAGCTTATGAAAAGAGGTAACAGCCTAATCAAGACTCCAGTGCACACACACCTCAGCCCAACTTCTGAAGAGTCACTGTGTGTGCGGCATATTCAACAAATCACATCACACCATTAATCAAGCCATTTTACTAAATAACCACAATAACACTGAATCTAATTCAGAGACGTGATTGATGCCGTGCTTCCTACAGAAGGAACCCACCCGCTAATAATTGGCTCTAACTACATACTAAACAAAACAACATTAACATTTTAATGTTGTAAGTTTTAATTAATTAAAATAACTTTTTTCAAAAACAGCAAATGTGTATCTTCAAAAGACGATGTAATATCTGCTAACACTCTCAAACTCTCTCAAAAAGCAACTCAAATTCGGGAGTCTTTTTGACTGATTAGGGCCTTTCGCACCGCTTTAGTTCCAGAACTAAATGTACAGTACTAAAGTACTGGGACGATTTTGCGCAAACTATTTCCCAGTACCATTTAAAGGGTTGCATTCGCACCGAGAGTGTGTACTAAGAAGT